GGGCCGTGGACAAGCTGGGTGTGTTCCCTGCTGTGCTACAGGCTTCTTCTGTGACCTGGGCACATCACTTTGGCCCAGGACATCCAAGGGCATTAGGCACCTTGCGCCCATTGACTCTGATGGGGATCAGACACCTAAATGCCTCGGAGGGTCTCAGCTGTTGCCTGTCCATGCTCCAGCCCCCTCCAGTAACACAGGTGCCACCTGACAGGGGTGTTGTGTGAATCCATTGAAGCTGGTGAGACAGCTGGGGGGACCAGATAAGCCCCCGGGACCGGAGTGGGGCAGGTGGGGCATGCTTCCCTCTCCCCTCCGGGGAGCAAAGCAAGACTGCTGTCCTCTGTGTGCTATCAGGGATCCTGCCAGAGCCTGCGTGGATGGCACAGCTGCCTGGCCGGAGACTGCGTGGATGGCACAGCTGCCAGGCGCGAGCCTCCTCTGGATTGCTAGCCTGAAAGCTTGTCGGGATGGCTTGTTGTCTTGCACTCCGCAGGCATCTTTTATCCCAGTGCAAAATAAGTCGAGGCAGCTCGCTGTAATGGGTGCCAGGGACAAGGTGTGAGTTTAGATGTAGGGTCATGGATGGTGCTGTAACCCAGATAGCAAAATACCCCACCCCCAGCCACACCACCCCCCCCAGGAAGGAGCGGATGCCTTTCTCGGGGCGGGAGGTGCTAATTACCCAGGTTGGAGCTGGGCCAGCACACCTCAGCTTCCTCACCTCTGCCAAGCGGCCCTTGGAGCACGCGGGCTTCCTGCTCTGCGCCAGCTCAAAGGGAGTGTCTCTCTTATTTTCCTCTCCTGCCTGTATGATTTTGCATGTCCCCGGTGGGTTGAGGCCACTTTCCACAACTGGAGCGCGTTTGGCGGCTCCTTCAGCCTGACGTGTTCCTGTCCAAGTGGCTTTAGTCACTCCTCATCCCTCAGCAACACGGTTCCTTAATTCTGAATTTGTATCCACCCCTTCGTAACTGGACGGGGCTGGAGCCGGGCATGCCGACGCGGCCGGGGGTGGACTTCGCAGGCCTGCAGTCTCTGTTGCAGCTGCAGTTTGCTTGTGCAGGGATCCCCTGAGCTCTGCTGAGTTGAGTCCCAGCCCATGTGCAATGTTCTTGCTGGTCCTGGGTTTTCAGCAGAGCCCCCCAGTCCCGTCAGCTGGGAAAAGCCAAGCTGTGCGGTCTGACGGGTGGAAGGCTAGCTTGAAGGACTAGACTCTTTTTGCTGGGGAGAGCCTTGACAGCCAGGTAGTGCCAGCTCAGAGTGGATCAAGTGTCTTGTCCAGCTAAGTCGAGCCCCATTTGCATCTTACTGCAAAGCCCATGGGACAGACAGCAGCTGCTACGAATCCACCTGTGGAAAGTCTCTAAAAACCTGTGAGCTGGCCTCCAGGTAGACTTCAAGGACTCTGCTTTTCCAGCTAGGAGAGGAATGAGCTGGTGCCTTAATGAGCAGTGCCTGGTTCTTCCCCGGGGGATGCTGCTACTCACCTGTCTGGCACAGGAGGCACCTGCCAAGACAGCCCCACAAATGGGAAAGAGCTTGTTCTGGGACTGCTTGCAGGCACGGGTCCACGGGGGCTTCTCAACACCACCACAGTGACTAAACTGCAAGGAGGGGTTGATTTTTATGGGTTGCAGAGCCCGTCGCATGTGTACTGCCAGGCATGGGGGTGTCGCACGATGCTCCCGGCCCATGGGGAGCTGCAGAGGCCCTGGGTGCGAAGCACTCTTGCAGGGAGTCGGGGGGCATGGTTGGGTGACACAACTGAGAGTCCTGGAGTGGTTCTGGACTGTGGTCCTCATGCTGGAGCCTTCCTTCAGCATGCATGATGGGCGGAGGGTGGTGCAGCTTGTCACGCGGTTAGGGAGGCAAGTAGGGATTTGTTCCTTGAGCTCCACTTTGCATCGGTGGGTGCTGCAAGAAATCTGCAGGGTTTGAAATGGCAGAGCATAAACAAGCCCAGGGCGTGGGGCCTTTCACAATCGCTCCCTTTGCAAGGCTGCGGTTGCCAACCAGAAAACTTCCCACCATGGGTGTTTTGGCTGCACCTCATGGAAGGAAACTTCCTCCAGCCGCTTCCCCAAGGTGGCATGAAGCTCTCCCGCGGGGCAGGGGGCCGTGGTGTAGCCAGCGTGGAGCAGGACTCGGCTCTGCGGAGGTGAAGCTGCTGGAGGTTACCTGCCTTCATATCCAGCTTCTCTCTAAACCCTGGGGTTAGGGCATGTGGGGTCAGAGCACGGCTTTTTGAGAAGTGGGGAGGCCTTCATGGAGGTGAGAGTGCAGAGGATGTTTTCCAGCTGTTTGGGAAGCCAGCATGGAGGATGCGGAGCAGTCGTGCCAAAGCACAGCAGGGGCCGACTAGCTGCTTCCAGCTCGAAGGCAGGCCACCCCATCTCACAAAGGATACGGCAGGAGTAGGAAAGGGGTAGGGAAGGGCAGCAGAGAGGAGCAGAGCTGTGGAACAGCCTCCACAGGAGGAAAGGTTGCAAGGGCCAGGACCTTTCAGCCTGCAGAAGAGCTGACAGAGGCACATACGACTGAGGTCTTAAATCACTAAAGGTCTTGGGGCGGGGAGCACCTAGGAAACTATATTTTTTTCCAACTGTCACAAGAACAAAGAGCACCCAGTGAAATTCAGGGAGCAAACAATGGAAAGTGCTTTCTTTCCACCGCACATTATTAACCTGTGGAACTCCCTGCTGCGGGACATTGTGGAGGGCAGTAGTAGTAGTTGTAGCCTTATGAAGGGTTTGGTAGTCTTGCAAAGAATTTAGATTATGGGTTGTATGGGATGGTTCGGATAGATCCTGCCTTGGGCAGGGGGTTGGACGGGACGGCCTCTGGAAGTCCTTTCCAGCCCCACTTCTCTGCGATGGCGGGTGGCATGTGCTTGTAGAGGATTGGCCTCCCAGGGCCTGAGACGCCGCAGCCTATGGTAGCATACAGCCGGCTGCCGGAAAAGATGGACCTTGCATGGCAGTTATGGTCTGAATCGGCCCCACATCCGTGGCCAAACCGTCTTCTTCATGACTTGGTTTTTGCCAGGCTGATGCCAGGGCGCAGGAGCAGTGTCGTGAGGACAGATGGGGCTGCTGGAGACGGGGGTCAGTTCTGCAGTATTTTGCTGCTGGGCTCCATCAGGTTCAAGCGCTGTTAAGGCTTCCCTCAGGTCCCTTGCTAGGCCCAAAGGCTCCGTTATTCGCACCAGACCTGGGTCCCAGGTCCTTTGCTTGGTGAAGGAGGTTTGTAGGAAGCAGAAGGTTTTTCAGATGTTGGCGGCAGCAGCAGAGAAACAGCGGTTTAGCAGTGCTTCTGCTGGAATATCTTTTATCTTACTTGACAAGCTACTTATGTTGGCTTGGGGACAGCTGTGTCACAGGGACAGCAAACTGACGGGAGGGCCTGAAAGGAAAGGTATGGGGCGGGGGAATGACAGCGTGCCAGCTTTGGTGCAGCATCTGCTGAGGCTGCTGGTGTCAAGGGCAAAGCCCCTTTTACCAGCTTTGTTTTTGCGGAGGAAGGTGAAGTGTATGAAGAGTGCTGCTGAGCAGAGGTTATAGACACCGGTGAGAATGGAGACCTCAAGGCCCTGGAATCTGCGGTTAGGAAACAGGATTGCAGGTCAGGTGGGGCAAATGCAATGGGAATTGGAAACAGAGGTTGAATGAGAAAGGAGACCGCTGGGAAGGAGAGAGGCCAACAGGTCAGAGAGCAGCAGACAGGTGAGCTTGCAGTGAGATATGGCTGCAGAAAAGGTTGACCATGAGCTGCACGTGCAGGGGAATCTGGAGTATGGCTCATGGAGGGAAGAGGGTCTCAGTCCACCTAGCTCAGGTCTGGGCAGCATGGGTGTATGCCGAGGGCTAATGGGGTGCATACAGGGCCTGGGAGGGGAGTGTTGGGCCCAAGCACCAAGGAGATGCACCAGCCTGAGACTGAGATCCAAGGAGCTGGAGAAGGTAGTGGGCGCCGTGCTTTCATGGCCAGTCCTGGACACACTCCTGGTGTGGTGGCAGCTGACTGCAGAGGGGCTAGGTCCCCATCCACATCTGACTGCCGTTGCAGGGCTGCCTCCGTCCTAGGTGCTACTCTGTTAAGAGCTGGGCCAGAGAAGGGAAAGCCATCCTGCCTGGTCAGGCAGTGCCCCAGGGCCAGCTGGGAAGGGCACCGCACACTTGCACTGTCACAGTGGGCAGCGAAAGCAGCAATCGCAGACCTGGGGGAGGTCTCCAAGGGCTTGTCTGTCCTCCTGTAGTGACCAGTGCCCGTGAGGCTGGGCCTGAGCCCTCCCAGCCCAGCTGAGTCTGCAAACCTGATCCGGTCCAAAACTTCACCAGTGACGCTGCTTTTGAGCTCACTGGAGACCAAGGGCAAGAGATCAGGTGCTGGGGATGAGCCTGGAGCAGCAGCCTGCCCGGGTGGGGATGTGTGTATGTGGGGCACATCAGGACGGAGCAGCCTTGGGAAGGCAGAGAGGTGGGCATGGGGTCCCAGGCTCTGTTCATGACTGCCCCCTCCTCTCTGGGGGCTTGAGTTTGTGCTCTCATGTAAGCATCCCAGCAGCTGCCCAGCGCCCACAGACCTAGAAGATCATCTGGCCCCACTCGCAGCAGACCAGTCACGCTGTGGGGTGGGAGCTCGGTTCAGAAAGGAGCCAGAGGTGCAATGCTCTCTGCCCACTTCTCCCACAGCAGCCCCGAGGCAGGCGCCAGGATCCCTGGGCTCTGCAGAAGGTCCCTGCATATTGCTGGGGGCGTCTGGGCCTTAACCCTGTGTACTCCACTGCTGCCTGAGAGAGCCGGTGAGCCTTGTCAGGAGGCTGGAGGGGCCTCCATGGCTTCTCACCAGGGCAGGAGCCTCAGGAGCAGCTAGCCACGTCTGCCCTGGGGCTTCCCAACTTTTGTCGTGCTCCTTTGCCTCCTGCCCCAGGCAAATCTGATGCCCTAGGAGGGGTCTGTTTGGTAGCAGGTAGTAACACAACTTATACTTCCTTCCCACAGCCTGTGGTCCAGGGAGCTTCAAGTCAAAGCAAGGGGAAAATGCCTGCTCCCCCTGCCCGCCCAACAGCAGGACAAGCTCCGGGGCGGCGACTCTCTGCACCTGTCGGAATGGCTTCTTCCGGGCAGACGCAGACCCGGCGGACAGCGCCTGCACCAGTAAGCCTGGGAGCACGCCAGCCCTCGTGGTGGGGGTAGGGGTGGGACAGGACTGGGATCCTGCATTGCAGCTGGCTTTGAGTCTGGGGTGAGTTCTTCTGCTCCAGTCCCAGCTGGCCAGCACAGAGCCTGGTGCAAGATTGGGGGTGCCTTGGATGAATGCTGCATTGCACAGACAGACTGGGTGGGGATCCAGCCCTGAGGGCAGCAGGCTGCATCCTGCCTCCTCCCAGGGCCAGGCCGGGCTCGGGGAGGCCCCACTGGCTCCTCCTCTGATGCGCACCTGGTTTGCAGGCGTCCCATCCGCTCCCCGTAGTGTCATCTCCAACGTGAATGAGACTTCACTGGTGCTGGAGTGGAGCGAGCCCCGAGACACGGGTGGCCGGGATGACCTGCTGTACAATGTCATCTGCAAGAAATGCAGCGTGGAGCGCCGGCTCTGCACCCGCTGCGACGACAATGTGGAGTTCGTGCCCCGCCAGCTCGGCCTCACCGAGCGCCACATCTACATCAGCAACCTCCTGGCGCACACCCAGTACACCTTCGAGGTCCAGGCTGTCAACGGCGTGTCCAGCAAGAGCCCCTATTCCCCCCAGTTCGCCTCGGTCAACATCACCACCAATCAGGCAGGTCAGTGCACGGGGTCACGGCAGGGAATGTCTCTCCAGCAGCATGGGGCTCCCTGCTGGAAGTCTCCTTTGTGCCCTGCTGCCGGCTTAGAGCGCCTGCATCTAATCCCCTGGGTAAATTTCTCCCTGCATTTGAAGACGTGTCCCTGGAGGGAAGAAGATCAAAACTCCATGCAAACCGACTGGGGGGGTAGCTGGGGGATGCTCCAGAGATGCTACGGCTCTAATCCCCGCGCATTGTCTACCCACAAAGGCAGAGATGGGTCCAGGGAAATTCAGTCCTGCCCAGTACTTCGACGGAGCTGCTTGGTGAACTCTCCTTCAGCCCCTGGGCTGCCCAGCTGCTGCCACCCTTGTTCTTCACGGGTCTAGTCTGGGGCAGAGGGTGGAGCTGAGGCAGGTGGGAGGAGGGGAAAGTGGCTCCTTGCCTGTGGGTGAGGCCCGGCTTGGTTTGGGGTTTGGAAGCGTCTCCCATTGGCTGCTTCCCAGTGCCGCCTTGGCAGAGTGCAAACTCAGCGGGAATCGGCTGGGATCCTGCTCTCCTGAAGGAGCTGCTGTCACGTGGCCCTCAGGAGCTGGCTGGAGCTGCCTGACCCCAAGCTTCCTTACCCAGAAAGCAGCTCCCAGGGCACCTGGGTAGAATGGGAGCCCTGGGTGTCCTTCAGGCTGGCTCGGGGCTGCAGTGGAAGGGGATGGCTCTGGGTGGCCTGGCAGTGGGTGGGTCTCGCTTTCTGTCTGACTTGCAGCATGAAATAGGTGGATGCACCTGGGCCAAGCCTCGGTCAGAGAAAACTTGTGTTGCTGGTTGATTGAGGGGTGCAGTGGAGGTCAGGTCTTTTGTGCAGGGGAAATGTGTGGCTGAAGACGTGTCCCCAGCTACCCTGGGTGGAGCACAAGGCTAACCCAAGCCCACTCCTTGGCACACATCTCTTCTTTGTTTTGTAGCCCCCTCGGCTGTTCCCACAATGCATCTGCACAGCAGCACCGGCAACAGCATGACACTCTCTTGGGCCCCTCCGGAGAGACCCAATGGGATCATCCTGGACTATGAAATCAAGTACTTCGAGAAGGTAAGGCAGAGCCCAGCCTCTTCCCCCTCCTACACCTGCTGACTGTGGGCCTTGCTGGAGGAGGATCTGTGTGTCCAAGTCTGCTGGGGCAGAGAGCAGGGGAGTGGGTCCATGAGCCTGTGAGGGCCAGATAACGTCATAGCAGTGACCCCCCAACTTCCTCTCTGCCCCACAGCAGGGCCAAAGCGATGGCATCGCCAACACCGTCACCAGCCAGAAGAACATGGTGCGCCTGGACGGTCTGAAGGCCAACGCACTTTACACCGTGCAGGTCCGTGCACGCACTGTCGCTGGCTACGGCCTGTACAGCCTCCCTACCGAGTTCCAGACATCTGCAGAGGATGGTAGGCACCAGGGCTTGGAGTCCCTCTTCCTCCTTCCCCTCTTCCCTGCTAACCACCTCACTCTGATCTGCCTCCCTTCTCTCCTGCAGGCTCCAGCGGAAAGAGCTTCCAGGAGCTGCCCCTCATCGTGGGGTCAGCCACCGCCGGGCTGGTGTTCATCATTGTCGTGGTGGTGATTGCCATTGTCTGCTTCAGGTACTGGCTGGGCATCCCCCAGAGCTGTCAGGGAGGCAGGGCTTCCTCCCTGAGGCTCTCAGCAACTTGATATGTGGTTCTCTGTGCTCCAAAGGGAACAGACACATGCATAAAAGGGGTCTCCCCAGCAGAGGGGTCCTAGAGTGCTCTAGGGTGACATGCCTGGGCATGGAGTGTGCCTACACGGGGCACTGCTGGAACCCTCCCCACCGCACTTCAGCCACCGTCTCCCTGGGCACATCCCAGCCCAGAGCTTTTGGCTGGGTACAAGCCCATAGGGGGACTCTTAGCAGAACGATAGAAGAGCAGGCGCCTCTCCCCAGCCCTGGGGCAGAACGATCTTGCTCCTCCTGCTTGTCCTGGCTGGGCTGCAGTCCTAGGGCTGAAGGCGAAGGAGCTTGGCAGCATACAAAATGCTTTAATCCCACTGGGTGCCGCAGCTGAGTGTCTGTTTGGTGGCAAGTCCCAAAGCAGGCAGCAGTCATCTTGATGCCTGGCACGACTGATGGGGTCTTCTTGTCTCCTTGGCGCAGGAAGCAGCGGAGCAGCACGGACCCGGAGTACACAGAAAAACTGCAGCAGTATGGTAAGCGCGATTCTCAGGCCTTCCTTCACACTTCCCCACCCCCTGCACACTACAATATAGGAGCAAGTCTTGGCCCTGACACCCCTGCAGAAAAGGGCACTAGGGCATGAGACCAGGCAGTGTGCATGCCCATGCCACAGAGAGATGAGGAGCGGTGGTTCGTGTGACTCAGGCCAGGGGATGGCCTTGGCATCAGCATGGAGGTCTGCACCCCAAGGCACTCTCCTGTGGGTATCACAAGGAGAAAGGAGTAGTGCCTCCGGTTCTGTGCCTCTCCCCTGTGCTGGCCCTGACCTGCTCTGTCCTCACAGTCACTCCTGGGATGAAGGTCTACATCGACCCCTTCACCTATGAGGACCCCAATGAGGCTGTCCGGGAATTCGCCAAGGAGATCGACATCTCCTGCGTCAAGATCGAGGAGGTGATTGGAGCAGGTGAGTCATTGTGTCCCTTCTCTCACCCCCTGACTGGATGCAGCCGGTGCCACGTGGGCTGCTGGCAGCTGCTTTCAGTTGGTAATGGTGCCGCTGTCCGTCCTGCGCAGGGGAGTTTGGGGAGGTATGCCGGGGCCGCCTGAAACTGCCGGGTCGTCGTGAGATCTTTGTGGCCATCAAGACTCTGAAGGTGGGTTACACGGAGCGACAACGCCGGGACTTCCTGAGTGAGGCCAGCATCATGGGGCAGTTTGATCACCCCAACATCATCCATCTGGAGGGCGTAGTGACCAAGAGCCGGCCCGTCATGATCATCACAGAGTTCATGGAGAACTGCGCCCTCGACTCCTTCCTCCGGGTGAGGCTCATACTGGCCCAGACCCATGTCCAGGGGTCATCGGAGGCTTATGGGGAGAGGACGCAGGGACCCTTGGGCAACTTCTGGCCTTCACTCAGGCCAGGGTCGGAAGAGGCTGGGACCCTTGGGCCACTCCTCAGCATCACTCAGGCCATGCTCCATCAGGCATGTGCTTCCCCAGTGTCCCCAGAGTAGCTGTTCCCATGTTTGTGCCTGGGGGCAGGGGCTCTTTCAGAGGAGTGTGGCAGGGTGCGGGCTGGGGGGATCTTACAGAGGAAGAAGGCAGCAGCATGTTAGTGTCTTCTGCTTTAGAAAATCATAGCGTGCCAGGGTGGGAAGGGACCTCAAGGGTCATCTAGTCCAGCCCCTTAAGCCATCCTAGACAGACACCTGCCTGACCTCTCTGGCCAGCTGAACTGAAGTGGTTCACAGCCCTCTGCCATCCATTGCAAAGGCAAGGACCAGGCACTCTCCCCAGAGGTGCCCTCTGACTTATGGCCTTTCCTTGCTGGCAGCTGAACGATGGACAGTTCACAGTGATCCAGCTGGTAGGGATGCTGCGGGGCATCGCAGCTGGCATGAAGTACCTCTCTGAGATGAACTATGTGCACCGGGACCTGGCCGCCCGTAACATCCTGGTTAACAGCAACTTGGTGTGCAAAGTGTCAGACTTTGGGCTCTCGCGCTTCCTGGAGGACGACCCCGCTGACCCCACCTACACCAGCTCACTGGTATGGGAGTTTCTCTTCGGCATCCGCTGGCCCACCCTGCTTCAGGGGGGCAGGGGAGAGTTAATAACACCCAAGGAGGGGGGCTGTGGGGAACCCCCAAGGTAGGCACTAAATAAAGGAGTCAAGCGTGTCTTCCCACAGGGTGGTAAGATCCCGATCCGGTGGACGGCCCCTGAAGCCATCGCCTACCGCAAGTTCACTTCAGCCAGCGACGTGTGGAGCTACGGCATTGTCATGTGGGAGGTGATGTCGTACGGGGAGCGGCCGTACTGGGACATGTCCAACCAGGATGTAAGTTATACTGGCGGAGGGGCAAGCTGGAGGGAAGTGTGGAGGAGGTCCTGGGGTGGTCACGGTGACTTTTATGCCTGTGCTCTGCATCCCGGCAGGTGATCAACGCTGTGGAGCAGGACTACCGCCTGCCGCCACCCATGGACTGCCCCACTGCTCTGCACCAGCTCATGTTGGACTGCTGGGTGCGCGACCGCAACCTCCGGCCCAAGTTTGCCCAGATTGTGAACACACTGGACAAGCTGATCCGAAACGCAGCCAGCTTGAAGGTCATCACCAGCGTCCAATCGGGGTCAGTGCCCTGCTCTTCCCTCTCCCATCCCCACCTTGCTTCCATGCTGGCCCAGACAGGCCTTACATCACACAGCCCTTCCCACAGGTGGAGGGTACCAAGCAGCTTGGGGGGCTGAAGAAAGATGGAGGTCAGGAGTCTAAGTATAGATGGTTGGTGGGGCAGAAGTGTCCTCCTGTGCTCATGTAGTGCAAGCCAGAAGCCTTCCCTCCCATCCTGCCCTCTGACTTAGGCACCTGACATTACCTGTGAGCTCTCTCATCCCCACAGCGTGTCCCAGCCACTCCTGGACCGCACGGTCCCAGATTACACCACCTTCACCACTGTGGGTGACTGGCTGGACGCCATCAAAATGGGACGGTACAAGGAGAACTTTGTCAACGCCGGCTTCGCCTCCTTCGACCTGGTGGCGCAGATGACAGCAGAGTGAGTGGAGGCGTGTGGGCGGCTGGGAGGGCGGCCAGCTCCTCCCACCCTAGCATGGCCATGCAACTAGGCAGGAGTGGCAAATGGTTCAGGACTTCCTCCCCTCCACAGAGCGGGAAAGCTCCTGCATCCCAGCTCTCACAACTAAGTAGCTTGTAGCTCCCCACGGGCAACAGGGGTTGGGATCAGAGGTGGGTCATGGGGGGTCAGAAGTGAAGCGAGCCACGAAGTTGACCAAGAAGCACAACTGTGTTGAAGACATGGAGATAACATGGATGTTAAATAACTCCTGCTGCCACGTTCTGGGCCCCAGTGAACTTTTGGGGAGTCCTCCCCAGTCTGCTGCAGAGGGAGGGAACAGCTGAGGGGATGAGGCCCTTACTCCCATAGCTCAGCCTAGGGCTGCCCAGCGAGCACGTACCCTTATTCACCGCCTTCTCTCGTTCTTGCAGAGACCTGCTCAGGATAGGGGTGACACTGGCGGGCCATCAGAAGAAGATCCTCAGCAGCATTCAGGACATGAGGCTGCAAATGAACCAGACGCTCCCAGTCCAGGTTTGACCGTGGCGAACTCTGGGATCAGAACGGACTGGAGGGAATCCTAAGGTTCCAGTTTGCGGTGCAGCCCGGCTTCCTGTTTTCCCCTTTGCGTGGAGCTCCTTGGCCTCCGACAGCCGTGCAGGATGGGACGTCCTGCCCCGAATCCCAAGGCGCTTGGGCCAAGAGGGAGACCAGCGGTTTGGTTTGGGTTTGGAATAGTGAGCCGGCGAGGCGTGGAGTCTTCATATTGAAGATGGATTATGGGACAGAGACCTCGCCCCCCTCTCCCCGTCCCGTCCCCACACCAGCGGCGCCAAGGGTCCGAGAGATGCTCTGCTGCTTGGATTTCCTTCACCCCAAGGTCACAAACTTTTGCTGACCTTGAAGTTCATCCAGAAAGGCCCGTGGGGACACAGCAACATGTGCTGGCCCTTTCTCATGCTCTTGGCCCAGCCTGGAAGCGGTGAGGGGGGTGCGGGGTTCCAGGCTAAAGGAACAACGGAGCTGAAGGAACAGCAGTCCCCCGGGGGGGCCCAGCCTGGCTTTCGCCTGTGCAGCCCAGACAATCATGTTCCCTCTTGCCAGCGCGGATCTGCACTGGAATGTGTCTGAAGCAGGGGGGTCGGCCTGTCTTGGCTCTGGCCTCCTGAACCCGAACCCGAACCCAGTGAGATTTACTATGCAGGGAGTTGGAAGGCCCAACTCCGGAGCGCTCGTCCCTCGTGGCTTCCGCAGCCAGATCCGGACGGCAGAGGAAGGCCTTGGGCACCAGTTTGCACAGGGCCGCGAGGCAGCCGTGCGGGCTCCTGCCCCGGGGGGGGAGCTGGGAGAGACGGGAGGGGGAGGGAAGGCCAAGCTGACTTGGAGAGCCTCTTTTTATGCAGAAGGAGCAGGTCCTGTCAGAGCGCCGTCTCGCCAGCACCTCTCCTGACACGCTGTGATTTGCTGCCAAAAGACTTTTCTTCCCGCCCCTCTCCCCCCTTCTTTCTCTCTTTCTCTCTGCTGTTTCTCGGACGCGAGCAGCCTCTCGAGCAGTAGGAGGGACCCCTATCCATGTGTGTGCGTGCGTGAGTGCTTGTGTACTGGCCGTCTGGACTGTGAGAGGGGGTGTGGGCAGATTAAAGGCAATAAGGATTTTACTTGAGTTTCCTTCGCTCAATCGGTCTCCCCCCACCGCTGTCTAGGACCTGCAAGGTACCGGCTCCTGGCTTCCTCTGGACGGGGCTTGGCCCCCTCCATCTGGTGGTCTCCCCTCCAGTCTGTAAATACCACAGGAGGCTGGCACAAGGGCTGGCTTTTCTCCCCGAGCCCCCCGACCTGCACAGCATGCCATGTTGGTCCTGTGGGGTCCTGCCCACAGACCCCACCAGCTTCTCCCCTGCCCGCAGCGCTGGCTAGGCAGCTTTTCCCTACAGAGGCACCTGATCCATGCCAGGAGAGAGCAGGGTTGTGCTCCCCAGCCCCGTGGGGAAAGGAAGTAGCAGGAAGTGGGGCTCAGGCTTGGTCCGGGCTGAGCCCCAAAGAGATGCATGTAGTGCAATATAAGCAGCTGTTTGCTGACCCCCCCCTCATGCTAAGACCAGTGGGGGAACGTGCCCGGTGAGGCACAGGCAGGCCACAGCTGCCACGCAGCTGCCGCTGGAGAGCCTGAGGAGGGTGCTCTGTTGCTAGTGCCAGGAGCCCTGTGTTGTAGGCCCCAGCCCAAACTTGAGCTGAGAGCAGCCAGGCTGATTGAGCTCACTCAGGCATGAGTCGGGCTGTAGTCTCGCAGCCGCTCGCGTGGCTAGCCCTCTTGCTTACACGTTTCCCCTGGGCTCCACCAGACCCCCCCCCCCCAACCCCG